CGATCCTATCCTGAAAATTGGTATGATCGAGAGAAACAAAAACAAGTAGAAGAGCGAAGAGTTATTTATGTTGGACGCTTGGATGAAGGAATCACTAAAGCTGATTTACGTAGAAGATTCGAAACTTTTGGTCCTGTAGTAGATATTAGTGTACATTTTCGTGAGCATGGGTAATTTTTTCATATTTTGTTTTATATTTGATTCTTTATTATTATTTTCATAAAAACATAACGAATTTACATTATATATTTACATATACATTTACATTATCCTTTGTTTATTTTAGCGATAACTATGGTTTCGTAACTTTTGCTTATAAAAACGATGCCTACGAGGCTGTAGAGCACGGTAATGACGATCCAAGTTTACCAAGATACGATTTATGTTTCGGAGGTCGACGTGCTTTTTGCAAAGTGAAATATGCCGATCTTGGTACGTATCATATTAAATATTTAACGAAAAAATAATTCATTTAAAAAAAAATTATCTTAACAAATCTATCAAAAATAATTTTTTATTTTGTATTTCCGATTAAAATATGAAAATTAATTTATTAATTTATTTATTTGATTTTGCTAGTATCGAATAAAACAAGAATATTCCATATAGTCAAAGATTTTTAATATCATGAGAATAATTACAAGCAAAAGAAAGATATTTATTTAGAATAAAATCAATATAGCGTTGAATTTAAAATGTACAAATAATATTTTTTTTTTTGGCAGATGGTATGGCGAGCAGTTCACTTAATAATGGTCACATGTTACAAGATAATGAAGATAACACATTTGATCTTCTATTAAAAGAAGCAAAAGCAAAATTACGTAAAAGAAAGGTTTGACATATGTACTATTTGCTAGTTTTAAATGTTATTTAAAAAATTAGCAAAGATGTCATCAATAATATTTGGAACAAAAATAAGTGGAGAGATCTATACTAGTATTTTCCACTAACAGAAATATAGTAAAAGTTACAGAATAATTGTTATAGAGTATAAATAAGTGTTGCAATATCGCACTTGTAATAAAAAATAATAATTAACAGCTGTATTTTTTGAATTAATTGAAAATATCAATAATTTAAATATGTATAGGATTTTGATATTTTCAATAATAATGAAAGTATTAGATCTTTTCTATGTAAAAGTCTGCTTAGTTAAAAATATGTATATGACTCTATATAATAGATTTTATTTTACTCGTGATTTTTATAAATAATTTATTGAACGTAATACAATTAATTACACACGCTCTCCTGGGTGGACGCATTTAAAGTAGACAAAAATAATTGTAATTTAAATATTTTAACTTGAAAAATGCATTCAAATCATCATCATCATAATAGATATTTGTTCACAATTATTTGTTACGTAAAGAAACGTAACGTTTTCATTGTCTTCAAAAATATCATGTACCGATCGAAATGAAATATATCATGGATTAAAAGCTCTCAAAAACTTATACGTTTATATAGAAATACATAAATATATAAACAAAAAATAATTTAATCGGATTTGTATGTATCATATATAATACATTTATCTTATTTTTTAATAATTATAATTTTTAGAATGATTTAAGGTGCGTTTAATGTTAAATGTATATATAATACGGTATATATGCGTATTTAAACTTATTTTTACTTACAATTATTTTTACTTACAATTTAATATATATAGAAATTAATTTTCATATCTCCACAAATTAAAATCCCATTCACATTTATTATATTATATATTATATAAATTTTTAAATATATTATCACTTTTTACCTTTAAATAGTTTAAAAATAAAATAAACTTTTTTCACATAAGTTTTTATTTTTATATACAAAATAATATTTTGAAAATAATATTTTAATATTCTTTATAAATATATATCATTATTTTTAGTAGACATTTTTCCTTGTTAGTTTTTCATCCAATAATATAATATTATAATTAGATTTCAAATTTAATATAAATTTCACATAGATTAATATCGAATATTTAAAAAAATTTAAAGGTAAGAAATGAAAATATTTATTATAGAATTTTAATTAGATATATTTTATTTTAAGTGGAAATTGATGACTTTAAACATTAAATTTAATAGTTTTATAGATGTAATTAAGTACGATGATGAATTATTGAAAAGAAAAAATTTAAAAATTTATAAGAATGAAATTATAAATTAATAGTTCCTATTATATAATAAAAATATAAATATTTGTTTTCAATTTTGAGAAATATCATAATTTCTCTTCACGATGAAACGTCAATTTTTATATATCTGAATTGTAATAATTTTTATGAAACGTGTGCTGTACTCATGTTGATGAAATATTAACATTTAGTCGGCTAATGTTATAAATGTAATTGTTTATGTATTACTTAATTATATTATAAATTTGACACGATATAATAGATGAATCACAAATTAGAATATTTTTATTTGATAATAAAAATATACAAAAAAGAAGTACCTATGTTTATTGAATCGTATATTGCCAATCATTATTAAATTTAACATAGATTATTATTTATATTTTTTACATAGATTAAAATATTTTATTAATATATATATATCAAATTTATTTATTGTATAATTATCATATATATTACAAACGAAAATCGCAAAAGTATTCGAACAGTTAATTGATAATATTTTACAAATTATCATCTCTTCCTTTTTCTTTTTTCTTTGGCATTAATCATAATATTTTTTTAAAATAATTTTTTTTTCACTTCAAATATATATAAAGTAAAGCATATTGCATTCATAAGAAACATTTAATGATTCTTTCATATAATTTTGCATTTATTTTAAATTTTATATAATTTTAATAGTCATATC